GCTCTGCCAACCATCATGGCCAGTTATCCAACACCAACCACAGTACTGGAGTACCATGCCACAGAACAGTAATGTGAAGATGCTGCATCACAGAAAACCAGGGGTGTTTTTCAAGCAAAGGCAAAGCAGCTTTAGTTTGCATATGTTCAGAAGCCACTGAACCAGGCTGGCTTTCCTTACAATAGTTGAGATGTCTTTGAGAGGCCTACTAACTTCTACTGAATAGGTGACAGCACCTGTATGACTCATGGTGTTTTGCTTACAGGAGCTTCTGAGACCTGACATCAGACTATTTTTGGTTCACTTTTGGGCTATTTCCTTATTCACCCATGTGAAACATTAAAGTGAATGAAAGTCCCCCTCCTCTTTCTCTCTCTTTTTCTTTTTTTTGACATGACCTCAACTCACTGAGTCTAGGCCAGTGCTATTGTTAGCACTACATCATTGAATGACATTCACAACACTTTCTATCTTAAAAGCAGGTGTATTTTTGACAATCTAGACCTAGAACAAACTCTTCCAGAACCTCACAGCCCCGGACACGTAATTTTCCATCCTAAGTGTACTTATGACCATTTTATATCCATCTGCTCCTCAGCTTATTTCTCCTTGCTGGTTCTTACTGTATGATGTATTTATGGACATCCATCATAATTTCTGCTGGATTGAAAAAGCAAAGGTCTTTTACTCTTCTTTTGTAAAGTAAGTCATCTATTTCTCTGAGCTCAATTCTGCACCTTTTGAACTGTGATCCATCCTGGCTTCCTTCCTCCCAGTTGCAAAATCCTGTGGGACTGTCCTGGTCCTCCAGTACACTGAAATCCCTCTCCTTGGCCCCTACATGGAGCTTAACCAGACTTATGGGTAATGAGCAGTTACAGGTGACTCTTACACGCCATGCCACTGCATCTCACTCCAACTCTCTTGCTGTGGAACACTCTGCTCTTCCACCAGATGGCCAATATTTACCACTTCTCGCTCCTGTATGTATCTGAGAAATGGTCACACTTCCATCACGATTCAGGAAAGTGTTAAACCAGATTAGTTTTGAAAGCGATGTACTGAAAAGCCAATGCCAGCCTCCATCACTGCGGCCCACCACCATCTCCAGCCCCATCACCCCTCTGCTCACTACAGGAACAGAAAAACAGACAAAATGGGGCAGACCACAGGTCTGCAGTGCCCACAGGGCTGGCACAGCTGACGTGCAGCAGCCAGCACAGCTTACAGCAGCACCTGCCCACAGAGCTACCACATCCTACTGACAGATCTCCTTCCATTTCTCGGTCACAAATTCACCCCAATGCTTTCCAAACCTATTTAAACTTTCTGCTGTTGAGAACAACATTTCCTTCCAGCTGACTTGCTGGTGAAGCCAGAAATTCGGCCTGTGATGTTACTTCAGATGTTTAATGAATGAGATGTAGTTTCAGTCAATCTGCAGCTCTCAGAAGAGGACATTACAGCAGATCTCATCAGCAGAAGGCTACGATTTAAGTCTAGTGTGACCTACTTTGGTGGCATCACATGCATTTTTCATTTATCTGTATGTTTTTCCTTCTACATCAGTTGTAGTAACTTGCCTATTGCTGAAATTGATGTTGAAGGAGACTGGCATGGGGGATGCAGAGCATGGAAAATTCCACCCCTCACATTCAGTGCTTTTTTCCTCCCAGAGATCACCCACATTTGGCAGGTTTGTGAAAAAAAAAAAATGGGAACAGATCTGGGATTTGAGAGCTCTCCCAGGACACCAGGAGGGAGATGGGCTCAGGCTCCCCTCGTCTGCCCAGCGCTGCCCTCAATCTCCCTTACTGACACCTGGCACAAAACAAGTATTTAATTCTGGGACCACTCTAACACATTTTCTTTTCTATCTCATCTGTACTCGCACAAAAAAAGATCCTTTTACTATCTATGCATTACCGTTTGCAACTGAGCTGCACCAACTGGTGAACTCTCCCTGTTCTTACACTTCCTGACGTGCTGGGGTTTTTCCATCCCCTGAAGACTCTCTGCTTACTGCACAAAGCCTTCCTGAGGCAGTTATTTGTCCAAAGGATTACCAAGCCCCTCCTGTGTGCACCCTTCTGGCTTGCTCAGGATGCAGATTTCTTTTGGGTACAGAAGCTGGGGTTTGGGACAAGCTGCAGCTCGCAGCCAGCTGAGGACTTTCCACCTCCAGATCTGACAACCACACGGGTCAAAGCAACAGCAATAGCTCTCAGCCACCTCAATGAAATTCTTGGCTCCAACATTCCCACACCACTTTATGTGCTTATGTGCCTCCCCATACACAAAAACACCACGTTTTAGTTAAAAAGCCTGCTTATCACATCCACAAACTGAACTACTGATCTAATTTTGTTTGTTCTTCCATTTATTTTAAGCTGAATCGCAGTTTTAGCCTTGACTGCCTTTCCAACAAGCTCACCTGCAGTCTAGAACAGCCTCACCAATCACTGGGTGTCATCCTTTGATTAGGAAAAGCAACACAGCTCTCATGGCTACAACCATCTCACCCCTCTCATCAGTAGCAATTGTTCTGCAAGCATATACCTGGTTACTTGAAGTGCCCCTAACAAGAAAACCAACTGGAAATGATTCTTTTTATTATGAAAAATCTTCTTCGTAGGACAATTTAACTCGAAGATCCTCAGCAAGTACAACAGAACTTTGTTACATTACATCACTGTGATCAATGGGAAATGATCTGAAACCTGAAGTACTGCATCTGGCTGCTCCTGTTGAAAGAGAAGCTCACCTTCACCCATCAGCATCCAAAATCTTCCAGGCTATCTGCTGTCTCGCCCTGTGGCACCAAGCAGGAGGCTGCTTTGGCCTCGTGTCTTACTGACACTGCACTGCCCAGCTGCAGGCATCGAGTGCCTCCAGATAAAGGCTTGAGACTGAGGAGGGCAGAAGAGATTCAGCACATTTTAAGGCCAATCATCCTTCCAGCATATTATCACATGAGCTTAAAAAAAAAAGTACCATCAAAAGAACAGATGAGGCAGCACTTATCTGAAGATTATTACTCTGAGTCTCAAGCCAAATCTGCATCTCGCTTCCACTAAGTCTTGTTGTTTTCTCCCTGTTTTCTACTTGTACGCTTGCCAATAAAGTGCAAAAGGTTAAAATTTACAGTGATTTTATTATACCAACTTCTAAATGATTACAGATGAAGTCAGCAGCTTTCTGCTTCTATGTTTATTGCCCTGCCGAAAAAAAAAACAGATGCAACGATGTCCTGTGCAACCAACACAAGCACAATGCACATCTCAAGGAACAGGCTGCATTTTGTGGGCTACAAGCTTTCTCTTTTCTTTCCCCAGTTTTGCAGCAGTTTATGCGACCATGGACAAACCAGGGCAGGTTCCTAAGCTTTGCCATAGAAATATTACCACATAGAATGGCTGAGGCTGGAGAGGACCTTAAAGACCGTTCAGTCCCAACCCCTGCCATGGGCTGGTTGTCCCCACCAGCTCAGGCTGCCCAGGGCCCATCCAACCTGGCCTTGAGCACCTCCAGGGATGGGGCACCACAGCTCTCTGGGCAGCTGTGCTCACTGCCCTCTGAGCAAAGGATTTTCTCCTAACATCCAATCTACATCTCCCTTCTTTTAGTTTAAAACCACCCTCTCTCGTCCTATTACTGTTATCCTCCCTAATTACTGAAAAACACCTAATTAGGGAAAGTTTCCTGTTACCTGGACTGTAAATTCTACTCCTACCCCCCAGTATCAAAGCAGCACACAAAACCAGCCCTACCCAGCACGGCGTGAGCGCAGCTTCCAAAAACCAACAGCAACTTAATCATTTCGATTTAATTTCAGACATGCCAGCGCTGCCAAGCACCACTTTATTTGTCAACAAAACGTTTTGATGATCTGGCAGAAGGCAGCACGCTCCCTCCCCACTTTCTCCACATACTTGGCACAGCTTAAGGCAGGTCTGAAGCTGTTCTGGGCTTCAACCCCACTCCTCTCTTCGTGTCACCGCTGCCCCAAAGGCAGCGCTGCAGCCCGGGGGGTTCGGCCCTGCCAGGAAATGGTTAAGCCGCCGATGCGCGGCTCTGATCCATCGCATTTCTCGCAGGCTGAGCTCAGAGCCCAGCACCGAGTATCAGCCGTAACATGATCCAAGAGTTTATGGAAAAAATAACCGCGCATACCAAGCACGCACATTTAATAAGATTTTCTTTCCATTCAAACAGCCTAGAAACATGATTTTTGAGATCGGCTTCGCCCTCCGACCGGGCTCTAACATCTCTCCTCCCCCTCCCCTAACACACACCTCCTGTCCAAAAACCAAACCCTTGGAAAAAAAAAAAGCAAAAAAGAGCGCTCGTACTGCAGGGAAGAGAGGCTGGAAAAACAACTTTGATTGGCACTTGGCCTGACCCACAGAGGAAGAAAAACAGATTTTGGACAAAGAGCGCAAATATTTGAGCTCGCTGACTTCGAGACTTTCTCAGCCTTTCGGAAGAGCCGGAGCGGATTGAATCGCAGTCTCTCCCGGGCTCGGGGCGGTCGCGTTTGCACAGCTCAGCGCTTTTAATTCATTGGCGCAGCGCAACCGGAGCGCAACTCGCCGGGGCGGCGGAGCGGGGCGGCACAGCGGGGGGCGGCGGAGCTGCTCGGAACGGGGCTGAGCTCAGCGCACGGCGCGCGGCTACCGAAGGCCTTTTTGGAGTGATTTCGCGTATTTTTTTACAGCTTTGATTCCCGGAGCTCCTCGCCCCCGAAAAGGTGTTGGGGACGAACTCCCGGGTTCGTAAGCAGCCTCACGGCGACCCCGGGGCGGCACCGCCTGTCCCCCGACACTCCCACCCCGCTGCCTTCACCCCTAGTTCCCGGTCCCCAGCCCTCACCCTGCGTCCATTTCGCCCTCCCCCCTCCACGGTTGTCTGCACCCCACGGCCCCACTCCGACCCCCCGAACCTTCAGCATCCAACACCCCCCGCTGCCCCTCCGCACTCACGGCCGTGCCCCCCGCTACCTGTCTCGGCACCTTCCGGCAATTGCCGCACACCCTGTACTGGCCGGCGGCGGATGCAGCGCCGCCGCCGCCGATGGAGCCGGCGCTGAGCCTGTTCATGCTGCCGGGGCCGGGCCGGGGTGCGGTGGGGACCGAGGCTCGGCTGTGCTGGGCTCCGTGCCGCTCAGCAGCCCGCGCCGCCGGCCGCCCCCATCCTCCAGCCGCGGCCCCAGCTCCCCGCTCCGGGCCGCTGCCCCCCGAGCACACACCCCTGCGCGCTCCTCCAATCCGCGCCTCCCGCCCCGCCCACCGCTACGCCGACTGACCAATCACGAGAGCCACACGCCGGCGACCAATGGGGAGAGCTTTTGCCGGCTCCCATCTCCGGGCAAGCTGAGATAAGGGGCGGGGAAAAGGGCGGGACCGGAGCGGCAGAGGGGCGGGGCCAGCCGCGTCTCTGGGCAGCGTTGGGCAGAGAGGCGGGGTCAGCGCGTCGGCGCGTGTCCTCTGCTGGCCAATCGGGTGCCTATGCAAATAGGAGCGGGAAGCCCCGCCCCCGGGGCTGTGAGGGAGTGGCGGTGGTGGCCGGGGGGGAGGGGGCGGTTTGGGCCGCGTCTGTTCGGCCGCAGCGCGGTACCGAGCCGGGACCAGGATCGGCCCTGCTCCGCGACCTGCAGCGAGCAGCCCGAAAGGCACACGGAGCGAGGGCCGGGAGCTGGATGGTGCTGTGGAGGCCTGAGGCGAGGGCTGAGCCTGCCCCTCCCTTGGCCGCCTTCGGCGAGCTTCGGCTCGGCTCTCCGCGTTGGGAGAAGCGATGAGTCAGGTTTTCTCGGCTCCATGCTAATGCACGGAGATGGAGGGTGTCATCAGCAGAGCGGCAGGGCCGCGATCTGCGGCGGAAGGCAGCCGGGCTACACGCCTCCTCTGCGCCTCGGAGCAGCGCTGAGGTTCCTGGTCCGCGTGCTCTTCCAGCCCCAGCGGTGTGCGTGCAGGCTTTGGCGTCTGTGTGTGAAACGCCGCGTGGCGTCATTCTGATGTTGAAAGATTACGGTAAGAAGGATTGGATTTGGTCGTGGAAGCTGAATATCACGGCTCCCCAAATCTGTAAGAAGACTTAGGGTGTTGCATACCGCGTTCTCGACATTTGTCCTGTCCAAGTAATTGTAAGTGGCCCGCCTGAGAGCTGTGATCTGCTTTGTGTGCCTTCATCCATTAGAATACCTCCTGTTTTTGCAAAACCACGTGTTGTGTCGTTTAGACGACTGGCTGAGCTAAAAAGGGCACAGTGAAATTAGTAATTTACATCTTTTGAACCCAGCTCTGGTTGTTTTTGAGAACTACTGAAAAGTTTCTTGGCAAACTTCTCCACCAAAGTAAAACCACAGCCACTGCCATCTTGCCCCTTCCAGCAGCTTCTGAAGGAGTCTTTACCTCAAACAGAGCTGTCAGCAGCAGCGAGGACTGCCACTCGTCACTCATTTCAGTGTGGAAAGCACTCAGACACAGCAACAGAGAACAGAACGCAGCGCTCACAGAGAAATAAATACAAGAGGTTTTTATTCCCCAAGCAGAATGGTAGAAATGGGATCCTAATGTGAGAAAGCACTGCTTGCTGGAGTGCAGGTAGTTGCTGTGCCATGTTTGCATCCCACATGCTGCAGCATGGTGCTACTAGCACTGAAAAGACAGTGGGAAGCCAGACAGATTAGTTTCCATCAGCTAATCTGCATGTAATGCTAAAATGTAAGTAAACAACATGAATGATGTAAACGGCTTTTTATTTATTGCTGAGGTCTATGATATTATCTGAAATGAGAAGCTTTAGAACAAGCAGTAGAGGATCAGGGTTATAGCCATGAGCAGCAGCTGATTCTTTAGCACAAGTAAGATCCATTGGAGTCATTTGCTGTCAAAGGGCCTGCTTCAGAACTCAACCTGTTGATAAGGACAGGAGCAGGCAAGCTTGAAACACAAGTAAGATAATGGTTTTAATTGGGCTAATATTTAGCACCGAGTACTGGCAAATAGTCAGATTTCTTGAATAATATTCATTTATTTTATTCTGACAGTGACAAGTACCCACGACTAGACATCCTCAGAAATATGATTGTGTCCTGTTCCTCTCCACTACAATTATTCCCACTTGGGGTGACCACTTCAGACCTTTAGCAAAGCCCATTACAAAAGGGAACGTTTTCTATTAACCAAGTGAGTGTTAAAGTAAAGCTGACGTGTAAGGCAACTTACAATTGGAGAAATTTGATATCTAGTCTCTGTTCTGCCACAAACTTCTTGTGAGAGGAGGTGGGAAGTACTGGCCCAGATGCCTGAAGTACTCTGTGAACTACCTCCCTTAAAATAAATACCTTTGTGGGTCCCAGGCTTGCCATTCAGTTCTTCAGTGTCTGAGAACTCTCAAGAGAAACATACACTTTGTGTTTCATTGTTTCTGGAAACAATACAGCAAGTAGAAGTCGGCTAACATTCTTTCCTGCAACCCCCTCCTCCCCCCAACAAATTCTCTTATATGTTTTCTGAAATTCATTTTTTTTTTCTTCTCTTTTCTTTTTATAATCAGTTTTGATACCTAATGGAAGTGAAAAAAGTACTTAACTGGGCCAGATGCAGTGCATATCCAGTATCAGTATTAAATAATTCATCGACAAGAGACAATTTAAAAATAAAAAAGTCCAGATACCGGAGGTCTTTGTCTAGATGCAGTATTTCAAAATGAGTTGTTGGGATCCCCATGGCACTGATCATGTAAAATGCTGTATATGTGCTTAACTTATGCCATCTGCAAGGCCCCGGTGCCTGACAAGGCATGTGCATTGTGTGACTGAATTTAAGCCCTTGGCTTGTTCCATTTCAAGTTAAACAAATGTGTAAAAGTCTTTGCACAAGCTGTCTGTGTGAATACAGCCACATTCCTGAAAGTTCTTGTAAATTTATTTCACAAAAGAAACATTACAAAAAGTATCTGGTGCTCCCTTCACAATTACCTGTTAGCTTCTGTGATCCAACTGTACCTTAGTTGCTGTGTACTGCTGTGTTTCCTTCAGTTTCTGTCCAGTTACTGAATGGTAAAGGAAAGCAGAATCCTGAAATTACCTCATAATTTAGTTACCAGCAGCCTGGCACCTTGACCTGCCCAGAAATGTTAAGAAGGTGGTGAATTCTATAAACACAACCAGTCTTCTCTGCTGCAGTCACACAAAGAGGCTGCCAGTTATTGCCATGTATGGGAAAGGGGGGGAATTTTTGTATCAGTGGCATGCATCATACTTGCTTGAGACCATCACATCCCTGCAGACAGATCACTGACCTGCCAAGACAGATTTGCTTAAGTGGTTAATGGTTTAAGCAGAATTTTATCATTGATGATTGAAACTTTTGTGAAGTTTTACTTATTACTGAAGAGTAATACTAATTGATAAGAGAGGAACACGCTTCCAAAGGAAAATAGGGTTTTCTCTGCCTTCTCAAGCATTTGGGTGCATTCTTGAGAGACACATTACAGCCAGGCACAGGTTTCTGTGCTCACCATAGGAGTAACTGGATGAGATGTGACAGTTGGAGTTCACCTAATGCTTTATTCAGCCTTTGAGCTGGTTCAAACCAATCAGCTAAGAGATGTAGCCCATCAAAACACTAAGCTGTCTTCACCCCCAGTAATGAGTGCCTACACCATGGTGGGATACCAGCTTTTGAACTCACTTTGTGGATGTAATATTTCTGCTTAGACTTTCCTAATGAGCAAGTTGAGAGTGGTACGGTGCATCTTTACTGCCTTCCAGAAAGCATTGCATCCAACAGTCATCAGCTGAAAGCCAATCTGTCCATGCAGGCTAAGACAGAAGATGCTGTGTAGATGGACTGTGTCCTGGAAAAATCCACCTGGCCATGGTGTGCATGCAGATGCTACTGGAGTGCTCAGTAGGTCCATATCTGTTCTTCCTATGATGCAAACCTCCTGTAGAAGGGCACAGTTCCTTCACAGTCCATACATAAATGCAAAAGCTTGATGCTTCCTGAAAAGGTCGGATTGAGAAGATCAGTGCTATAAAACTGAACTAGTTATGCAATAGATGTGTTTGCAATTCAAAGACCTCTGGCAGCCCAGGGAGAAAGGAAAAGAGGGGGCAACTGCAATGCAGTAACTCAGACTGGACTGCTACAAGATTAGATATTTCATAAGAAATTAAAAGATCCTCAAATTTTATTCATAAAAAAAAAACTTCAGAAGCAGAAAAAGAGGATATGTGAGTACCTAACTGGAGACTTACCCACTCTCCCCATCTGACTGCCACTAAAAAGCCCTGTTCAAATGTCAGATGGGTGACTGACATGCTACATGCCTTTCATTTCTTGAGTCCATGAATCATTCAGCAGAGCCATATGAAACACGGATAGATAGGAAAACTGATATGGTTTCTCAAAGGTCAGAAAAACCAGCACGTTACCAGCATGTCAAACAGGTGACAGTCCTGCATTCATTACACCAGGCTTGGTGCACCATTTTAGCATTGTTTGCACAGGACTTTTATTGTGTTCTTAGAGGAAGGAAGGGCAGCAGATAAAGTTTGTGCCCTGACACTACAAAATGACTTCCCATCCTCAAAATTACACACACACATTTTGCAAAATGAGTGTTCAGATAATTACATGAGAAGGCGAGATGTCAGTTTGTGGAATTCTTCCTCGAGGGTGGGGGCACACACCTTTTCATTAGCAGCATTTAAACCCTGACTAGATAAAGCACTCTAAATTATGTTTATCGTATGAAACAATTACAGCCTGTCCAGGAGAGCTGAGCTTGCCAACCTAATAGGCTTTTTTAATACCTAATTTCTTGGACAAATATGTAGTTCTAAAAAACATTACATCACTACCCAACCAAGAAATCCTTTCTCTCTCTATGCTTTTCTGAGGTTTGCGTGATAATTCACTAAATACATTTCAGCATGTTGTTTACTTCAGCTCAGCCTTCTGAGACCACACAGGCCAGTGCTGAGACAGTAAATAGGGATCATCTAGAAAAAAAACAGGTTATGCTTCAAGTTGACCTGGGAAATATTCAGGTTCACTTTGGAAGTATTTGGGGCCATGCAGTTTTGGGGGGTGATACATTGGAGAAATGCATTAATTGAAAGAAAATCCAAAAAGCAGGACGCAGGTAGCCTTGTTAGTGGTTCTTCCTCCTGATTCAGAATTATAAATGATCTCTTGTAATGTATTCTTGTAGATGTGAATCCCATGAGCAAATGAACCCAGGATTTGAGGTGTGCACAACTGCTGACTCATCAGGATTTTGTCACTTCCCTGAAGATGTTGCTGGCTGTTGGCTTCAGATCTCAGGTATCCCTCATTAAGAACTCCCTATTTTGCCTCAGTCCCTCCTGTAGCAGTGAGGCAGCTGAGGAGCCAAGAGTTCAAAAGTCGAAGGGCCAAAAAGAGGGCAAGCAAGAGGGAGTTTTGGCTCAGTTGTGTGCCTGGCCAGCCTTTTTTTCTTTCTTTCTTTCTTTTTTTTTTTTTTGTGTGTGTGTGTGTCTTTGTCTTGCTGGAGAAAGAAATTCTCAAGCAGCAAAAATTGTCTGTTCATATTTTGCAAATGAAACACATGGTACAGCATGATGCCATGTTAAAGATGGAGCTGATCAGTGAGATTAGCTTCCGTTACTCACTGGCAATGGTATGGCTTTCATTATTTTCACAACAAATACAAAACTCAGCAGCCTTTGGGATATGGCACATAATTTAGGTCCATTTCCTATTGAAGCTCCCCAGGATATCTAAGTAAGTTGGAAGATGAGTTTGAATTATAACACAGTTTTATTCTTTGTTTCTGGACAAAGGGCTGAAGTGATGAAACATTTGCATCTGTTTTAAACTTGGCTTATTTTTATTGCATTTTTTTTTTTTAATCCCACTACATTATTTTTCTGACGGTTACACCCTGAAAAAACAGGTTGTCAGTGCAAGCAGGGTTTTCTCAGAAGGTACCCACAAGAAGCAATTAGATGTGTGAGCAAAGGCAGTCAGCACATGGGATCCTCCCCAGCAAAACAGGCTCAGCGCTGAAGGCTTGTCTGCATGGCATGTTTCTTCTTTCATCAAACACCAGCAAAATGCCAGGAACATTCCTGGACAGGAGAAATCTTGAATTCTGCAATTCAGCCTTAAAGAAACACTCCTCTGGGGATCTGCCCGACTGCCTGACGGAAAAGAGTGACTCCTGTAAGCAGATCTGCCTTCGAAGACTGACCTATTTCAGCCCAGCTCTGCAGAACGCACAAGCTCTATTTATGATGCTGCAGGAAGGGGAAGGCAGGATGCAAGCAATGCACCTTGTTCTGCTGGGAAAGAGCCAGCAGCCCCAGCTCCAGCAGTGGAGCCCCGCATCAGGAGATGGTGGGACCTGGCTCCTGTTTGGGCAATTAAATGAGTAACATCATCACATCTGACTGAACCTCAGGCATGTAGACCTGGCTACTTACTCTTGCTGCAGAAGCATTTATATTGACACAGATTCAGGAAGATGCTGGGCAGCAGAATCAGGGAAACAATTGTTTTATAAGCAGACGGATGCCTTCATACAGCACAACAGTGTGATCTGCAAAGGATCTACAATCCATAACAGGATTGTAATCCACAGCAAAGTCACATCTTGAGAATTTTATTCATCCTCATTTCTTTTAAAGTGTCTTTTTACAGGGAGAAATAACTTCTTTTTGTTATGCTGTATTGCTCTTGAAGCTTAACCTTCCTCTTGCTGGGCTCTATAAATCATGGATTTTCTTATAAACAGACTACAGATCCGCTCACATCTTTGTATTATTTGGCTTCTTCATTCCAGAAACAGTATGGGCCAAATTCTTCCTTGGCATAGCTCTATTCGCAGCATTCTTATTTTGAGGATGCTGGGCCAGATTCCTGATCTCTCTGCTTTGTCAATGGGCACTCAGATCCCTGCTGCTGCGACCACTGCTGCCATATATCAGCAACACCACTCTGCTGCTGGGCAGAACATAGCCCTCTGCTTAAACAGCACTTTGATCAAGTGAAATAAGGAAAATATTGCTGAATGGAGCCTTCAGCAAATTACTTGTTCTGCTGAAAGATCATCCACTCTTGGCTTAGCTTATTTCAAGCATGACAGTCCAGGAAAAAGAGTGTACCTGTGAGTGAAATAAGACTCAGTGGGAGTCAGTAAGACCCAAAGTATTGCGGTATTAATAAATGTATATTTGTGCTGAAGCATGCTAAACCTCAAAGGCTGGATATAAATATCAATGTCTATTGAATTTCAGGAAGAGATGGCTGGTGGAAAGCATTCCCGATGCCGTTCTGCAATGTGCAACCCTGTTTACACAGGGACTATTCATAGGCACGTTCTGCTGCTGGGCAGGGAATTTGCTTCTTCACAGCCAGCTCATGCAAAGCAAATTTTCCCATATAGTTCTCAGGCAGGAGATTTAGTTTCCCTTTAAGTAAAGCAGCAGTGCTGTGCTGCAAGTGATGGGCCAGCTGAAGGTGTGGACAAGGAGCTGCCCAAAACCTGCCGAAGGACAAAAGAAGCTTCATAAAGGCAGAGGTTGAAATGGCACTGATGTCTCCTTGATCAAACACAGGCTGCACTTCTTTCATCAGAAAATGTGCCACAGTTGGAATCTGGCAAAATGAATTCTAAGCACGTCCTTTCTGCAGCCAGTTTTCCTTCTGCCCACTGGGACAATGGAGAGATGACACTGTTCAGAAATAAACCCACAGCATGGATTTGTGATTCTGTCAGATTGGGTTCTCCTTTCCCACTCCTGGAATTGCTCTGGAGGTCTTCAGGCTTTATGAAGCTGTAATGGACAAGGAGAGGGCAGGGGAATTAAAGCCCACCTGCCTCTTGCTATCCCCTTTCAGGGCTTTTTGCTTCCAGGAGCAAGTGAGATCCATTCATGAAAGGTGTTGAATGGCAAAAACAAAAGTCCAGAAAGAAGTAGTTATCTTAGGAGTTATGAAGAACAGTGCCTACTACTTGATAAACTGCAGAGAAAGTAAAGCCAGAAAATGCCTAAATTGAGAACAAAGCTGATGTGACAACTGAGTGCCTGAGAATGGCACCAATGGGAAGAGCTCAGCACAGCATACCTGGAGTTATCTGAGTGACTGAGGGAGATAAATTATGTTCTGCTCACCCAGAAAGGCAGTGTGATAGTTCTGGGGTGATCTCATTTTCTTCTGCTATCAATGCTTTCCTGCCGTTCGTGCTGGCTTGATTAGTCAAGGCAGGATCTCTTAGGAGAGGTAAAAGGCCTGGTGGGATGTTGGCCATCTAATTAGCTGCCACTCTCATTAGCTTAGGAAAAAGCTGCGTGCCCCCCCACCTCCCCCTCCTACCCCAGCACCTGGGTTACATCCATCCATGAAAGCTATCAAACGAGGAGAATGATTCTTGCTGTGGGTAACTGAGGCATGGGCACGGCCTGTGCTGAAACCTGGTGCCTGTGTTTGCTTGGACAGATGCAAAGCACAGGACAGCTGGAACTTGTCACTGATCACTGCAGAACTGCCAGGGGCACTGCACGTGGGGACAGGCATCTGGGTGCAAAGCTCATGCTCGGACCTGAGCACAACCACAGTGCAGCAAGAGGCTGGATGTAGTGCAGCCGCACTGTGACAAAACAGATTCATTGAATGGCTTTTGTGCAAACGTGCTTGCACCATGCAGGTATTATGCACATGTGGCAGGCTTGCAACTTTCCCACTCAAATTGTTGCTGAAGTGCTAACACTTGGCTCATCACTTTTCAGGAGGATGACAGGAGCATGTGCTGTGGGTTCTTTGCGTTGCTGAAGGCTCAGGCAAATAAGCAGTATGCTAAGAGCTATTCACAGCTGCTGGCTGAAGCTAGCTCGATGTTCATGGTGAACTGAGAAGCAGAGTATCCTGAGAAGCAGTGAGACACGCGTGAGCTATTGCATAACTATACATAGAGAGAAAAAATCTATGGATAGTTGTCATTCTTTGCACTTTTATTAATGTCTCTTGCCAATGAAGATCCTGAAGACTTGCAACCTAGAGTGGCTAGAGGCTCTTCCCTTAGAGTATTAAGGAAAAAAAGAGAAAACCAGGAGACCCTGCAGAGGTGAGATCAGATGACACCACAGCCAAAACTGTGCTTCACAGTGAGTGGGATCACAGCAACGTACCTGAATGAGAGGCTCCAGCTGGAGTACTGCATCCAGGTCCAGGGCCCCCAGCATCAGAAAGACATGGAGCTTTTGGAGAGGGTGCAGAGGAGGGCCGTGAAGATTATCAGAAGGCTGGAGGAACTGGCCTTGTTAAGCCTGGAAAAGAGAAGGCTGTGGGGAGACCTTATTACAGCCTTCCAATATTAAAAGGGAGATTATAAACAGGAAGGAAACCAACTTTTTACACCTGTAAATAGTGATAGGGAAGATATAGGTTGGATATCAGGAGGAAGTTCTCTACCAAGAGGGTGGTGAGGTGCTGGAACAGGCTGCTCAGAGAGGTTGTGGATGCCCCATCCTTGGAGGTGTTCAAGGCTGGGTTGGATGGGGCCCTGGGCAGCCTGGTCTAGTATTAGATATGGAGGTTGGTGGCCCTGCATGCGGCAGGGGTTTGAAGCTTCATGTTCCTTGAGGTCCCTTCCAACCCAAGCCATTCTATGATTCCATGATTCTATCATTTATTTAGATGTCAGGGGGAGGTTTATCATCGAGAGAGTGGTGAGGTGCTGGAACAGACTGCCCAGAGGTGGTGGATGCCCCATCATCCCTGGAGGTGTTCATGGCCAGGCTGGATGGGGCCCTGGGCAATCTCATCTGGTACTTGATCTAGAGGTTGGCAACCCTGCCTATGGCAGGGAGGTTGGAACTTGGTGATCTTTGGGGTCCATTCCAACTCAATTCATTCTGTGATTCTATGAAAGAGCCAGGCATTTTGAACCAATGACTTGGTGGTGTGTTCCCAGCTCTAATTGGCCCACAGCCAGTGGCTGGGCAACAGGAGGCCCGCTGATGGTGGCTGGGGCCAGGCAAGTGCAAGGATTTTGGTTTCTGGCTGGCAGGAGTGGGACTGCAGAGGAAAAACAGTGATACTGAAACGCCACCCGGGCCAGGACGTGCTCGGAAGGTGACACCAGCAGCCAGGGCAGTGAAATGGAGCAGAGTCAGAGAGATGCATCAGCTTTGGGCACCCAGAAACAAAAGGCCATTTCATGAGGATGATGCCCTGGGAATTCTGCTGCTGGGGGAGGAGGGCAGAAATCAAAGAGAGGGCAAAACCTACGGTGGCTGTGTATCAGCGGACAGGGTGACTCTGAAAGCTGCCAGTCCTCTCAGCCTGGATGAATGGCTTCTATTTACGTGGATCCCTATGCAGAAAAACATTGTGATCATGATCTAAGCGGCCTCGCAGACGTTTTGGCGCCTGGGCTGGCTCCTTCCTCCCACTCCAACAAGCATGGCAAAGCTGGCCAGCCCTGCACTGCGCACCCTGCACCATGCCCCAGCTCAGTGTCTCCCAGCACCATCCCAGTACTCAAAGGGAGGATGAGCACACAACATCCCTGCTGCCCTGCCCACGTTTTGCTCTGCTTTCAGCAAAGCCAGCACAGCCTCGGTGACGGCCCTAAACCCAACATGTGCCGCAGCGTGCAGCCAGCTGAGTCATGAGTTAATCCAGCAGTTCCCATTCAAAGGCTGCTGCCTTTGCCCTAGCTGAAAATGCATTTGTTATTTTGGTTCTCACTCCTCCGTGTGAAGGTTCAGGTGGCAACCTGCTGTTCATTGCATGTCATAGGTTGTGCATGGCATGCCAACAAAATGAGATGCTGAGATACTGGCTGCTGGCACAGGGTGGCCACACCGTACAGGCCCCGGCACTAGGTGAGCTGGTGAGCCTGTGAGCTCCTGAGTGAGATGGATCTGGGCACAAAGTGAGCAACCTGACTCGCTGGATTAGGAATATATTCCCGAGGTAGCAATCAGTGAGTGGGATGGATGGCCTTGTTCATTCACCCCACAAAGTGGCTGGACAGAACGTTCCCTGTCACTGCCCATCTTGGTGGGGTCACAGGATAAACCCTCGCATCATACCCAGCTGTGCAGGGAACACAACGGGAGCGCCCCGCAGAGGATCGCAGACCTGTCACCGACTTCTCCCCCTCTCCCGTGCGCAGCTCAGCTCCCTCGGGGCTGCACATGCCGCCCCGCGCCCTTCGCCCCTTCACCCCTCGCCCTATTCATTCTCCACCCGCCGCATTCGCGCGCCCGCCTTGCGTCACCGCTTTTCCACCCAGCAACACGGTGACGTCACAGCCGGGGGCCAATGGAGAGGCGCGGGGCGGGGCCGGGCGCGCGCGCGCGCCGCTGGTGCAGTCCCGGCAGGGCGCTGTGGTTTTCGCGCTGGTGCGCGTGGGCAGCGCGGGTTTGGCTGCCCGTGCTGCGCTGCGGAGCGCTTTGCTTCGCCGTTTCGTGTGCATCATTCGTGCTCTGATTGTGCACAGCCGAAGTAGCTCCGCTTTGCGTATTTGTTATTTCCATTACAAAGCGTGAACTTCAGTGACTGCCTTTTCAAGCTTCCTTTTTTCTTTTCTTTTTTTTTTCCTTGCAAGTGCAGCTCGGTCAGATCTTGGTGTAGGACATAAATTCATCTTCCCAGCTCATGAGTCAGAGAATCATAGAATCAGTGGCTTGGGTTGGAAGGGACTCAAAGATCATGAATCTCCAACCCCCCAGTTGCATACAGGGCCACCAACCTCCACATTTAATACCAGACCAGGCTGCCCAGGGCCCCCATCCAACCCGGCCTTGAACACCTCCAGGGACGGGGCATCTCTGGGCAGCCTGTTCCAGCACCT